TGCCCAGGGAAACGGTGTGATATTGATGCAAGGGCAGGGCATGCAGAGGACGAACTGAGGTTGCCAGGCTGGAGGTCAGCCACTCAAAAGATGATTGGGAAGCCCGAGTGGGGACTAGCCCAGAGGAGAAAATTAGCTAAGCCAGCCCCACTCTCTCCCTCCAGGAGGAATGCTTTGGAGATTGTCTCACTGAAACTCAGAGGAGAATGGAGTGGAGGTGCTGAGAGAGGCACCATGGGAGGAAGACCGTGTGGGCTGAGAGAGCAGCTGGTCATGCGGAGCTGCTCTGGCTCCCAAAGAGTTTTCCAGTTGGGGCTCCAGTCCATCTGCGTCCCAACACTAAAGCTCTTTGTTTGTTTGTTTATAGCCTGAAGAAGGTAAGTTACTGGTCCTTGCTTTCCTGCCCCCCATGCTCCACAGTGAGGATGCTCAGCTCCCCCCAGCCCCACCCACTCCTTCCTGTCCAGTTTGCTCAGGACCCAACAGCTATATGTCGATGTCAGAAGATAAACTTATTTGGAGGTTGGGGAGATAAACATGCAGGTGCCTCAAAGAAGCAGCCTCTATACATCCAGTGATGGGTTTTGTTTTCCATTTGGTACAGAATGAGTGTTTCTGAACTGTGGGTGAGAGGCAGAAAGGGGAGTGGATTTTTTTTTGGTTTTGTTTTTTTGAGACGGAGTCTTGCTCCATCACCCGATCTGGAGTGCAGTGAGGCGATCTCAGCTCACTGCAACCTCCGCCTCCCGGGTTCAAAGTATTCTGCAGCCTCAGCCTCCCAAGTGGCTGGGATTACAGGCATGCACCACCACGTCCAGCTAATTTTTGTATTTTTAGTAGAGATGGGGCTTCCCCATGTTGGCCAGACTGATCTTGAACTCCTGACCTCAGGTGATCCACCCGCCTCAACCTCCCAAAGTGCTGGGATTACAGGCATGAGCCACTGCATCTGGCCTGGAGTGGTTTCTTTCTATACTGCTGTCCAAGCAGGCTCACTCTGTTTCCAGGGTCCGGGAATGTGCCTCCAATAATATGGCTTGCCTAGGGCCATTTGCCTAGGGTTTGAGGTTGGTAGAAATGTTTGCACGTCCCGGCAATGATCATTCTCAATTTGGAGGCATGAGTCTCAGTTTCTCTGGGGCTCCTCTCTCTTTTTTGAAATGTTTTCCCCATGGTCTCCATCTCTCCATCCTGCCTTGCCCCGGCACCCACTGGATGTTGCTTGTTCCACCTGAAACTTGGTGATTATCAACTGTGCCCCTGACTACACTGCCACCAAGTCCTCCATCTATATCATCAGCTCTAATTTCTCTTGTGTCTGGTTGATTTTCACACCTCTTTTCCTACTTGATATGTGCCCTGCCCCTTGTTTGAAGACAGGGAACCTTTTACATGAACCTTGATCTTGTTTGCTTGGGCTGGGCCATGGGGAAAACGAAACTCAGACCTAATTTAAGGCTGGACACAGAGTCAGCAAGACACACGACAGCATCTTGATGGAAGGATGGCTTCGGTAAGTTCCCAGAAGGGTTTTAAAGCTTTTCTTTGAGGAACAACCACCCTGTTAGTGGTGATTATATGTGTTCTCCTTGTTGGTCTATAGCCCTGGCACAGAGGGCACATGGGCACACACTGAGGCCTGGGGGTCTGGCTCTCTCAGACACAGTGGGAAGGAACCATGGTGCTGGGTTATAAGCCCGGAGGCTCCCCAGCCTCAGCTGCTGCGTGAGGTCTGCTTCTACTGAGGCCAAAGTTTAGGTTTGTGTTTTTGCAATCCCTCCTGTGGCCACACTCCCAGTGGCTGTGCTGAGCCTCCCGAAGGCAGGAATGGTGGGCTCAGGGAGAGCAGCCATTGGTTCACCATGCAGACCACCTCCTCCGTCACACCATCCTCAATGGGTGGGGCGAACTGGGGAGGGAGGGTCCAGGGCAAGGACTCCCGCTGTGTGGGTGGCAATGGGGGCTGCCAGAAAGGGCTCTGTCTCCCTCACCTCCAGGCAGGGCCGGTCCCTCTACGTTCCCTCCTTCCCTCCAATCCCTTCTTAGGTTCCTTCTTCCTTCGGACCCAATAGCAGCCTCATTTCCCGAGTGCTTGGGGTCCAGACACCATGCTAAACACTTTTATTTAATCCACATCAGGTAGTGAATAAGCAATCCTATGAAGTAGGCATAATTACTGCCAACTTCACAGATGGCGGGGAATGATATTCTGGTAAGTATTAGAGGGGACTGCCCAAAAGGCAGCGAGGGAATTTGAGCTAAGGGGAGTCTGACTCTAAAGTTTCAACTTAAAAAGGAAAGAATGTATTTAATTCCATGAGGAACCTGTGAGCACATTCACTTTGTTTGAAAAACCAAAACTCTAGCCTGGGGAACATAGTGAGACCCCATCTCTACAAAAATACTAAAATTAGCCAGGCTTAATGGTATGTGCCTGTAGTCCTAGCTACTTGGGAGGCTGAGGTGGGAGGATTGTTTTGAGCCGGGGAGGTTGAGGCTGCCTGCAGTGAGCTGTGATAGTGCCATTGCGCTCCAGCCCGGGTGACAGAGTGAGATCATGTCTCAAAAAAAAGCCAAAAGCCAAAAATCAAAACCAAAACCAAAACTATGAACATAAAAGCTGAAGTCCCCTCTGGCCATTGTCCCCAGCTGTACAGCCTGGTGTGTGCTCTTGCAAGTATTTTTAACTTGATCTTAGCCAAAAGGCTGAGAAGTGATTCTTCCAAGTATTTTTCTACGCTTTTGCAGGCATATACGACTACCTTACAAGTATTAGTTTGTAGCTTTGGGGTTTGTTGTAGTTTTTTTTTTTTTTTTTTTTTTTTTGAGACAGAGTCTTTATCACCAGGTTGGAGTGCAGTGGTGCGATCTCTGCTCACTGCACCCTCTGCCTCCCAGGTTTAAGCAATTCTTTTGCCTCAGCCTCCCAAGTGGCTGAGATTACAGGTGTGCACCACCACATCCAGCTAATTTTTGCATTTTTAGTAGAGACGGGGTTTCACCATTTTGGTCAGGCTGGTCTCGAACAGCTGACCTTGCAATCTGCCTGCCTCGGCCTCCCAAAGTGCTGGGATTACAGGTGTGAGCCACCGTGCTCAGCCTGTTGTAGTTTTAAATTGCATTCCCTGAGGACAATTCAGTTAGGAAATGTTTGAATCTTTTCCTTTATTTGCCAGCTTTTGGAATAATGTGGTAATTTTTTTCTGTCTTCCAAAGATGGCTACTGTGTTTTAAAACTATCCTTATGAACACATGGGTTGTAACATATTTGATGTATTTCGGTCTATGTACAGTTATTATGATTATTTCTTGATGCTCAAATTGTCCTTTCTTTAGTCAAGTTGACTCTTGACCCCTCTAGTCAAAGGCTTTACTTTTTTTTTTTTTTTTTTTTTTAAATTTCAAGGCTTCTTTGGTGAACAGGTGGTGTTTGGTTACATAAATAAGTTATTTAGTGGTGATTTCTGAGATTTTGGTACATAGTCTGGGCAGTGTACTCTGTGCCCGATGTGTAGTCTTTTTTTTTTTTTTTTTTTTTTTTTTTTTGCGATGGAGTATCACTCTGTGGCTCAGGCTGGAGTGCAGTGGCACCATCTCAACTCAAGCTGCAACCTCTGCCTTCCGGGTTCAAGCAGTTCTCATGCTTCAGCCTCCTGAGTAGCTGGGATTGCAGGCACCCACCACCACACTCAGATATTTTTAGTATTTTTAGTAGAGATGGATTTCTACCATGTTGACCAGGCTGGTCTCAAACTTCTGACCTCAGGTTATCCGCCTACCCTGGCCTCCCAAAGTGCTGGGATGACAAGTGTGGGTCACCCCGCCCAGCTTCAGTGTGTAGTCTTTTATCCCTCACCCCCTCCCACCCTTTTCCCTGAGTCCCCAAAGTCCGTTGTACGATTCTTACGCCTTTGTGTCCTCATAGCTTAGTTTCCACGTATGAGTGAGAACATATGATGTCTGGTTTTCCATTCCCGAGTTAGTCCACTTAGAATAATAGTCTCCAATTCCATCTGAGTTGCTGCAAATGAAAGGCTTTACTTTTAACTATAGCTCCCCACCAGACTTCCGGCTGGCTGGCACCCTCACTGCTCTGAGCAGCAGTTCAACTCCTCTGTGGCCTGGCTCAGCTGAGTTACAGGGCGGAGGGGTGCTGGCTAGCACCAGAGCACACCGGAAACGGGACTCACGTGTCAAGGGCTGTCTCCCATTCTGGGTGTGGCCAGGGCAACATTCCTCCCACCCATGCACCCTCCAGATGGACACTACCCTACCACCAACTCGAACCATACCCTGCCATCCCTTGCTTTAATTTTAGCCTGGAGCTCAGACTTCAGCTGCCCTGGGCTTGCCTAGGACATTCTGGAATGGTTAAGGGCATTAATGTTGGAAATATTCAGCCCTACACTTCACTCCTGCTCTTCTACTCACTAGACGAGTTACCTGACCTTCCTGAGACTCCACGTGCTCACCTGTCAAGTGGGGGTAATGATAGTTCTTACCCAAAGGAGTGGTGTATAATGTGGGTTGAGTGTCCGACTGCCTCTGACATGTTGGGCGTTGCAAGTCAGAGCTCTGCAACTCGCAGGAATCACCTGGGCTTAGGCTCATGGCAGGTGGCCTTTAAAGAGGCGTTTTAGGCTGTCTCGGGAATCATGCAGTCACTTGCTGACAAAAACATACTCTGTGCACAAAATGTGCTCACATGCAGCCTGTGCACCTCACTCCATCACACTTCTGTGTTGCAGTTCATCAAAATGTCCCTCAAAGTGACTCTCTCCATCTCCTCCTTGTTTCCTGAAGAGCAACCTTTCCAGTCCTGCAACCCCAGTAAATAAAAGGGGTTCCTACCCATGTGAGGAGAGCTTCCTCCTTCCTGTTTCCTGCAGGTGATGAGCACAGGGAATCTGCAGGCTGGGCTGGGGCTCCTTGCAGGTCAGGCCCTAGAATGTTTCCTGCAGATGGCTCACCTCTGCCTGTCTCTGGTTTTTCTCTTGCAGTCCAGACCAAGACCAAGACCAAGACTGAGACGTGGAGACCTGATTGAGATTTTTCGCTTTGGCTATGAGCACTGGGCCATGTGGGATATGGCTATGTGATCCATGTGGCTCCCTGTAAGTAAGGATGGGTTCTCTTTTTAAGCACAAGGATTGAGATCAAGAATGTGGAGAGATGCACAATTATGTAATTGTCCTCACTTCAGGGTCTAGCAGAGTAGGCACTCAATACATAATGCTGAATGAATTGTGCTTTTTCCTGCTAGGTGTAGCAACTGCTATTCTTCTTTTGCAGTAAGTTGGTGGAGAGATTATTGACCTTTATTCCATTATAGAGTGGGTTTCAGTCCGAACCAACTCACTGCATGTGGTGAGCATCCTTCCATGGGATCTCGTATATATTTATTGTTCTGAACGTACAAAGAAGAGGAAGAAGCAGTTACTTTCTTCAGATAGCGTGCAACCGACTGCATAGTATAATGGAAGGAGCACACAGGCCTCCCAACTCAACAGAACCAGTTTGGAATCATGGCTCCTCTGTTTACTGACTGTGTGCCTTGAGCATGTGGCTTCATGTCACTAAGTTCAGCTGCACTTTCTACAGAGCAGGGGTAAGAATCCCTATGTCCCAGCTCATGGAGGGAAGAAATGAAGGAATGTATAGGAAAGCACTGGTGCAGAGGCTGGCCAGGGGCTAAAGCAACCTCCCTTTCCGTCTGAAGCATCGTAGCATCAAAGAAAATGACAAAATACTGGAAACGACTCAAGTGCAAGATACCAGGGGATTAGTCAAGTAGAATAAATATACCTGCATATACTGGAATGCTATACAGCCATTAAAATAGTTGCACAGCAGGTGTATATATACACACATCTACATATGCACACATAGATGTATATCTATCTACATATATGGATGTATATATACACACAAGTATATAGATGTATATCTATCTCCATCTATAGATGCCCTGAGTTTCACTTTCCCTGTGACCCAGCCCAGGTCTGTGTGTGTATGTGTACACATACAGATTTAATTCTTCTAGAGATTGTCATGATGAATCAGTGGCTGCTGACAAATGTTTAAGATTCTTGAGAGAATACAGTGCATAAGGCATATTATCAATATGACTAATAGGAAGGTATGTATATGTACACACACAGACTTGGGCTGGATCACAGGGAAAGTGAAACTCAGAGCATCTATAGATGGAGATATATATACAAATCTGTTTCAAGAGTTGTAGAAATACTGATATATATGTGTATATACTTACATATGTGTGTATGTGTATATGTGTATATACACATGTATGTCTATATATAGATGTATATATAAATGAAATAAAATCAAGCTAGAGAAATTTAAAACGTTTGTTGTACATACAAAAGAACAGTTCTCGAATCCAGAGACTTTGAATTAAAATGGAAAGAAGCTTAGCTTGCAGCAATGATAGCTCAGTTTATAAAGTTATAGAAGTGAGGAAGTACACTGTTTTCTGTTGTGATGTGGTGGTGCGTGCCTGTAGTCCCAGCTACTTGGGAGGCTGAGGCATGAGAATCACTTGAACCTGGGAGGCAGAGGTTGCAGTGAGCCAAGATCACACCACTGCACTTCAGCCTGGGTAACAGAGCGAGACTCTGTCTCAAAAAAAAAAAGAATGGAGAGGGCGGGCTAGGTGTGGTGGCTCACACCTGTAATCCTAGTACTTTGGGAGGCCGAGGCGGGCAGATGACAAGGTCAGGAGTTCAAGACCAGCCTGACCAATATGGTGAAACCCCATCTCTATAACAAAAAATATTTAAAAAAAAGTTAAAAAAAAAAAAAAAAAAAGAATGGAGGGACCAATAAAGAATAATTTGGGCTCCAGGACTTGCAATATCCTGCAAGCGTGAGGAATCCTCTGAGTTGTTTCAGTTATAAATCAAGGATAATTTTGGGTATTATTTATTCTTTCTGGGCACAGAAATATTGCTTTTTTAGATAAATTATAACCTAGATAACAAATCATCTCTTATGAAAGTTGAAGCTTACCTTGAGAGATCTTATAACCCTTGTAAGCTAGTTGTTATAGAAGATACATTGAGTCAATTTCTGAGTTTTCTGTTTAGATGAGGAACACAGAAACAAATCACCTACCTATTGCATTTCTGGGATATTTCAGGGGTTTTAAATTTTTGTGTAAAACTTGTGGAAAGTATAAGGGAGCCTCAGTAATACTAGCTAAGTAGACTGTTGACTTCTCCAAGTAAAATTAAAAAAAGATTGACTTTCTCTGTCTACTGGGCTGCAAAAGAAAGCAGAGCGTAAGTCCACAATGTTGCCGTGAGGACAGCTTGTTTTGTTTATGGTTACAGCTAGCACTTTGGGGAAATCAGAATAATTTTAAGTTTTTCATTACATGGTTATGAGTGGTTTAGGACTATTCAACTATGGCTTCCATTTCAGTTTCTCTTTAAGTGTATGTGTGTGTGTGTGTGTGTATAAGTTTGAATATATATATTCAAAATTTAAAAAATTAGACTTATTTAAGAATAATTTACAAATAGTAAAATTTATCCTTTTTTTTTTTTTTTTGAGACAGAGTTTCACGCTTGTTGCCCAAGCTGGAGTGCAATGGTGTGACCTCAGCTCACTACAATCTCTGCCCCTGGGTTCAAGTGATTCTCCTGCCTTAGCATCCCAAGTAGCTGGGATTACAGACGCCTGCCACCACGCCCAGCTAATTTTTTGTATTTTTAGTAGAGATGGTGTTTTGCCATGTTAACCAGGCTGGTCCCGAACTCCTGACCTCAGGTGATCTGCCCACCTTGGCTCCCCAAAGTGCTGGGATTACAGGTGTGAGCCACCATGCCTGGCCAAATTTATCTTTTTTAGTATGCAATTCTATGAGTTTTGACAAATGCATATGACTATGTAACCATCACCATAATCCAGTTATAGAAGAATTCCCTAATGTTCTCTGTTCAGCTGAACCCATGGTTGGAGTGGCCTCAAAAGTGGCGTTAGGGGAGTTTCTTCGGGGGACTGCCCCCAAAAATCCCGAGATGTGGCCAGTTTGGATTCCAAAGAAAGAAGCACTAAATGCCAGGCTGATGAATCCAAAGCATTTATTAGGGGAACTTTGATGCAGAGGGCTGGAGTCCTCTCATTGGACAGCAAGACAGTAGATGGTCTACCCAGGAACGTCTGGAACAAGGGGGTTGGATTATGAGGTTTACTTGAGGGTTTAAAGAATTTGGTTCAAAGCTGGGGCTCATTTCTATGTGCTTAGCAACGTATTTGCTCTTTCAGTGTTTCATGCAACAACCTAAACAACTTTATCAGTGCCTGGGAATGAATGTTAAAGGCTCCAGCTTGGGTTCAAGCCTGCAGAGGGCAACATGCAGCTAGCCGGGTCACAGACTGTCAAGGCATTCTGTGTTAGTCAGGACAAAGAAAGTGGGGGAAAATTGGGGGACACTACACCTCACTCCCCTAAAATTCCCCCATGCCCTTTTGTTGCCGACCCCCATACATCCACTCACGACTCCGGCTCCTAGCAAGCTATGGTCTTTTCTCTGTTCCTATAGTTTTGCCTTTTCCAGAATGTCACATAACTGAAACCATACAGAATGTAGCCCCTTTTGTGTCCAGTTACTTTAACTTAACATAATGCATTTGAGGTTGATGTATGTTGTAACATGCGTCAGTACTTTGTTCCTTTTCATTGCTGAATAGTATTCCATTTCATGGACGTACCACCATTTATTTATCCATTCGCCAGCTGAAGGACATTTGGGCGATTTTCAGCTTTTGATAATAATCATTAGAGCCACTATAAATATTCCCATGCAGGGTTTTTTTTTTTTTTTTTTTTTTTTGTATGTGTGAACCTAGATTTTTATTTCTTCTGGGTAAATACCTAGGAATGGGATTATTGGGTCATGTGGTAAGTGAATATTTAGTTTAATAAGAAACTGCCAAACTGTTGTCCAAAGTACCTCACCAGCAATATAGGAAAGGGTGCTGTCTGTTGGTGAGGAGGAAGAAATCCATCCCAGAGCTGAGAGACTGAGGGGCAGGAACGGGAGAGTGAGAGGAAAACGGGAAAGAGAGAGGCGTGGGGAGTCTGACTGGTGGAAATAGAGGGAGAGATGTGGGAGGACTAGGGGCAGAGAGGGGAAGACTAAGGAGTAGAAAACAGAAACTTAGAAGCCAAGAAGGGGAGACATTGGGTTAGGGGATACTAAAGGGTGGAGATGTAGGAGACTGTATTTTTCTCATGAAAAAGAAAAGGCTGGGCGTGATGATTCAGGCTTGCAATTTCAAGCACTTTGGGAGGCTGAGGTGGGTAGATCACCTGTCGGGAGTTCGAGAACAGCCTGACCAACATGGAGAAACCCCATCTCTACTAAAAAAAAAGAAAAAGAAATTAGCCTGGCATGGTGGTGCATGTCTGTAATCCCAGCTACTGGGGAGGCTGAGGCAGGAGAATTGCTTGAACCCGGGAGGTGGAGGTTGCGGTGAGCTGAGATTGCGCCATTGCACTCCAGCCTGGGCAACAAGAATGCGACTCTGTCTCAAAAAAAAAAAAAAAAAGAATAAATTATTGGTGATGTATTTTTACACCTGTATTAATCCTGTTTCTTCCAGCTTCCCTTCTTTTTAGGATCTCCAGTCTGTCCAAGAAGACTGGGTGTGGATCCTCTGTTTCTCTCCTTGGCGGAGGATCTCTCTGGCCCCCATTCCTGCTCCTGTGGCTGGAGTGAGCTGGGACCAAGACATTTGTTCAAATGTCCTTTTGAAAAGAAAATAAAAATCAGTAAAGGAAAGTGTGAATACACATGTAAGTTTAGAAGCTGGTCGTTAGCTAAACTGGCTGTTCAGAGACTGACAGTACAACAGGCTTTCTCTAAGCTGGGCCACTTCTAGCAGGGTCCATTGTAGACCCCTGGGTCCATCTGGCCCTCCATGAGGGTTCTGGTTACTGTCACTTGGCCACTGTTTTATTCCAGCTTCCCAGAATGCTGGGGTCCCCTTTAGAGGCCAATTGGAGAATTTAGAGCTGGAGGGCGTGGACATCCCCTGGCCTAGTTCCTCTAACTTGCAAGTGATGAAACCAGGGTCCCAAGATGAGAAGGGCTTTGTCTGAAGGCACACAGTAAGAGAGCCGGGGCCAGGACCTGGCGGGGCCTGGATTCCCGAGACAGGCTTCTGTCTTGTTCGGCTGTTTCCTACTGTTTCAAAATGCCACCCTTGCCTACTGGGGCTCCCACGGCACTGGTTCAGGGCAATGGAGTGACAATTTCTTTTCTTTACCTTTTTGGAGACAATGTCTCACTCTGCTGCCCAGGCTGGAGTGTAGTGACACAATCATAGCTCACTGCAGCCTGTAATTTCTGAGCTAAAGCGATCTTCCCACCTCGCCTCTGAAGTAGCTAGAATTATAGATATGTGCTGCTATGTGCAACTAATTTTTTAATTTTTGTTTTTAGAGATAGGAGCCTTACTATGCTGTCCAGGCTGGTCTCCAACTCCTGGCTTCATGTGTTCCTCCCACCTTGTCCTCCCAAAGTGCTGAGATTACAGGAACCTGGCCTGGAGTGACTTTTTCTAAAACACAAGCTAGTGAGGGGCAGTTGGGACTATGGCCTGGGGCTCTTTTGCCCTCTCTTTTTGCCTTGTACCACGCTGCCTTGACCGTTGCCTCTTTCAGGGACATTTGAACTCACGTGGTTCTTTAGAACTCAGGTTCTTTACTTTAGAAATGAGAAAACCAGAGCCTAGGGACCCATGGTGACTTCTCCAAAGTCACCCAGGCTTGGGTTTGCCCTGTTTTCAAGTTTGAGACCAGGCAGGATGGGCAGGTCCTTTCACAGCTCATCCTTCTTGATGGTGCTTGGGGCAGTGAGGCCTTGGCTTGGAGCCAGCTCTGAGCCCCGCAGGACCCGCCCAAGACTGAACTCACTGTTTGCACAGGTGAAATTGCCGGAGCTGTTGCGGCCAGTGTCCTGTCCGAACTGACCAACAAAGCCATAGTGAAGAAGGAACCGCTGTCTGAGGTGGCTGGGAGAGACAACTACCGTGTCAATAACAAACATGATGACAGATACGAGCCACTGCCCATCAACAAAATCATCAAGTGGGCAGAGGAGTTGGTGGGGAAGGAGTTTCGCTATTCGCTGACCAGTGACAACTGCCAGCACTTCGTGAACGAGCTGCGCTATGGGATCTCCCGCAGCGACCAGGTGCATCCTCAGCCTGCGTCCCCTTTCCAGCAGCCAGGCCACTTCCTCAGCTGCCAGAGGCTGGGTGCCTGCTGGGGCCAGGGTGGGATGGAAATAGATATGAGCAAGACAAATTCGCAGATATGAAACCCCCACCCTTGAGGTTTCATATGGAGATAGGCAAGTCGGCAATGTAGACCAGTGCAGTGGGGTGGGGGGGGGTGGCCACAGAAGGGAGTCACAGCCTGAAATGGCCATCCACAGCCCTAGAGTTGGGTTTTATGATCCCCACTTTACAGATGGGGAAACTGAGGCTCACAGTGCTTAAGTAACTTGTCCAAATTCATTAAACTCCTAGTTATTGAGTCACTAGTACATGTCAGCCACAGTGAAGTGGAGGCAGTTAAACCCACATGTGTTCTCTCCAAGGGACCTGATCAAGGAAGTCTTTGCAGAAGAGGTAATACCTGAGCACAGCATGATTTGATTATTTTGCTTTCTGGAAGAAAATGAGCTGGAGATTACCAGGGAACGGGGGCAATAAGGAATGTAGCGGAGGGAACAGCATGAGCCAGGAAGGGGAAGAGCCCAGGTCATGTTGGGCAATTTTTTTCTGTAAAGGGCCAGATAGTAAATATTTTAGATTTTGTGGGCCAGGTGGTATCTGTCTTATTACTCTGCTGCTATAAATTTGCCGTACAAAAGCAGCCACAGACAGGCAAGGCTGTCTTCCAGTAAGTATATTATTTATTTATTGTTTTTGAGAGGGAGTCTTGCTCTGTTGCCAGGCTGGAGTGCAGTGGCATGATCTTGCCTCACTGCAACCTCCGCCTCCCAGGTCAAAACGATTCTTCTGCCTCAGCCTCCCAAGTAGCTGGGACTATAGGTGAACATCGCCATTCCCGGCTAATTTTTTGTATTTTAGTAGAAATGGGGTTTCATCACATTGGCCAGGATGGTCTCAATCTCTTGACCTCATGATCTTCCCGCCTTGGCCTCCCAAACCCCTGGGATTACAGGTGTGAGCCACCGTGCCCGGCCATGTATTATTTATTTTTTACAAAAATAGTTTGCAGGTTGGATTTGACCCATGGGCCATAGTTGGCCAACTTCTGGTCTAAGATAACTTTAAATTTATTATTATTTTGATACAGGGTCTTGCTCTGTCACCCAGGCTGCAGTGTATCATGTGGAGTTTGATCATGACTCACTGCAGCCACTCCTGGGCTCAAGTAATCCTCTCACCTTAGTCTCCTGAGTGACTGGGACTACAGGCATGTGCCACCATGCCTGGCTAACTTTTGTATTTTTCTGTAGAGACGAGGTTTTGTCATGTTGCCCAGGCTGGTCTCCAACTCCTGGGTTCAAGCAATCTGCTTGATTCAGCCTCCCTTGGGATTACAGGCGTGAGCCCCCGCACCCAGTCCAAGTTAACTTAGAAAACCACATATCCCTCATACGTTCTTAGGTGACAGCAAACAGTTAAAAAAATCATAAATGTAAAAAATTTGTAAAGGGAAGGATGGAATTTTTGGTATATTGCATATTACATTTTTGTGTACATATTTTCTTCACAATCTGGGAGTTGCGCTTTTAGCTCATTCGGTTAGGGACAGATGTCTTCCATGTAGTTTAAATAGCCAAGCCAGGCGTTATTGTCAAGCCAACCAGCCTAATCAGGCTTATCTTGATGTTCAGAAAAAAACCCGACAAGTTTTCAATTCAAATGAGCATGTTAACGCACTGTTCCGTGACAAACATCTCAGTGTAGAATTCTCATTCTAAAGTAGCTAGATAAGGCAGGAGCCTCGATATGGCTGCACATTCCTTTCTGAAGCTCTCTCTGTTTAGGAGCAATGCATTCTGGAATCCTCCCTTCCTGGTGTCTAGGAGTGTTTACGCCTTAGTCTATGCACCATAGATTCAGGGTGTGGGAGGGTTTAGCTCTTCCGTTGTAAGATAGGAGAAGGAGAGGTGATAAAAAGGGGAGATGGGCAAGGAAAATCCACACCTTCTGGAAACAAGTGCCCCAGGAGGGAGCTCAGGCTATTAACTGAGAGCCTGCCAGGCTGTTCTGGGCACTGGGGCATGGTGGGACGTGCTCTGGTGCTTGGCAGGAACCCTGCTGGCGGGCTCTCCCCTCTGTTGAACTGAGGAGGGTAGGCCTGTCTCTGGATGGGAGGGGCGTCAGAAGCGGGTTGGGGGTGAGCTGCCTTATCATGCATCTTAAAGCACTTCTACAGGCTGTGCAGAAGCCACAGAGTCGATCTGGAAAACCCCAATTTTAGGAAGTGGTGCTTCTGTGGGGTCAGAATTCAAACAAATGGGGAAGACTCAGGGGAGGCAGTTTCCTCTTTTCTTTTCTTTCTTTCTTTCTTTTTTTTTTTTTTTTGAGATGGAGTTTTACTCTTGTTGCCCAGGCTGGAGTGCAATGGCGTGATCTTGGCTCACTGCAACCTCCACCTCCTGGGTGCAAGCGATTCTACTGCCTCAGCCTCCCGAGTAGCTGGGATTACAGGCACAGGCCACCATGACAGGCTAATTTTTTGTATTTTTAGAGATGGGGTTTCTCCATGTTGATCAGGCTGATCTTGAACTCCTGACCTGAGGTGATCCACCCGCCTTGGCCTCCCAAAGTGCTGGGATTACAGGCGTGAGCCACCATGACTGGCCGAGGCAGTTTTATTTAGTTTGTCTCTTGTCCTAGTGCCTCTCTTGTTGAACTTCATCTGCTGCAGGTCACCCATTAACTTACCTTTCTTTCTTCCTCTCCTTCCTTCCTTCTCTTCTGACTCTGTCTGTCTGGAAAGATCCTCCTCTGTCTCTCTGTAGCTCTCGCTCTGTAAGAAAATGGGCTTGTGAGAACAGAACTCTCGGCACACAACAACCCCATCTAGCCCCTTCTCTCATAGATGACCAAGCTCTAGCACTGCTTCTAGCAAAATAAGGCTGTGCACGTAGGATGACCCCAGCCCCCTGATAAATGCCTGCCTAAGAAAGCTCTCTGTTGCCGGGGGAATTTACCATTTGTTCTAGCCAACGCCTGACAAAGACTCTGGCCCTTTCTTAGAGTGTTTATTAAAAAGGACTTCTAATTATGAATCCTTCCTCTGTCCTTTGAAATGTAGATGCAGTCATCTCTTGGTATCCATGGGTGGGGGAGATTCCAGGACCCCCTGAGGATACCAAAATCATGGGCTCAAGCCCCTTGTATAAAATGGTGTGATATTTGTGTATAATCTGTGCACATCCTCCCATATACTTATTTTATTTCAGAGACAGGGTCTCACTCTGTCACCAAGGATGGAGTGCAGTGGTGTTCCACTGAAATATAATCTTGGCTCACTACAGCCTTGACCTTCCTGGGCTCAGGTGATCCTCCCACCTCAGCCTCCTGAGTAGACGAGACTCCAGGCACATACCACCACACCCAGCGAATTTTTGTGTGTGTGTGTATGTGTGTGTTTGTAGTAATGGGGTTTTGCCACATTGCCCAGACTGGTCTCAAACTCCTGGGCTTAAATGATCCACCTGCCTTGGCCTCCCAATTATGAGTGAGCCACTCATAATTATGTGTAATACTCAATGCAATATAAATGCTGTGTAAATAGTTATACTGTATTTTTAAAATGTATATTATTTTTGTTGTTCTTTTAAAAATGTTTTTTCCCAAATGTTTTCAATTCACAAATTTTTTCAATTCGGGAAACAATTTTTTTCCCAAAATGTTTTCAATTCCAATGTGGAATCCATGGAAATGGAAGGCTGAATGTCAATCTCTTACTACTCAGAAGTGTCTTTCTCAAGGACCTGAGAGTCATTCCTTTGAAATATAATCATCAGGAAGGATAGAGCCTCTGTCCCCAGTCTCTGTGGGATGGTAGAATCCTAACTTTGATAACTGCCAGCTAGCAGACACAGCTGGCCTCATCGCATAGTCAATATTTCACCTCTCTGACTCTACTGAGCCCTCGCTCACCTCTCCCCCACTCCCTCATCTCCCTTTAAAATGTCAGTCACCTCTGCACAAATTGGGATGGAGCTCAGCTCTTTCCCTGCTGTCAGTAGAGACCGAATCAAATCTGTTTTTGCTGTTTTGTTTGTCGGGCTTTATCTTTGACACTTGGAAACAATTCTGAGTATATTTGGATAAAATGGTTCTTTTTTCCCCCTTTCTTTTCCCCAGTCACTCATATGCTTCAAATCCATCGATACTCCACAGAAATCTGCTGTTTGGTCACTGGTTTAAATATTTGCTTCCCTGGCTGTGAAGGGCTTAAGTGCTCCTCTTGGGAAGTCAGGCAGATCTGAGCCTTGTCACTTGCTAGCTGTGTGGCTTTGTGTGAATTCTTTTTTTTTTTTTTTTTTTTTTTTTTGAGATGAGGTCTCGCTCTGTCATCCAGGTTGGAGTGCAGTGGCGTGATCTCGGCTCACTGCAACCTCCACGTCCCGGGTTAAAGTGATCCTCCTGCCTCAGTCTCCCAGGTAGCTGGGATTACAGGCACCTGCCACCACGCCCAGCTAATTTTTGTTTTTTTAGTAGAGACGGGGTCTCACTATGTTGGCCAGCCTGGTTTCGAACTCCTGACCTCAGATGATCCACCTGCCTCAGCCTCCCAAAGTGCTGGGATTACAGGCATGGGCCACTGTGCCCAGCCTTTGCTTGAGTTCTTTACACTGTCCATCCTCAGTCTTTTCCTCTGGAAAGTGGGAATTAGAATGACTACTTCCTAGGGTTGTCAGACTGATTAAAAAAAATAATACTGGGCCTGGAGAGTTCCGGCACAGTGCTGATATCTAGAAAGCAGCCATTCTCACAGTCTTCACCCCGGCCCCACCCTGTGTCATTTCCCCCAGTCCCTCCTGTGCTGGTATCTCAGAGACAGTGGTGCAGGCAGGGGTGGGCCCACACGATCGCAGCGGGTTGTCTCAGCTAGCTCCCAACAGCCGTGCTGAGTTGCACCAACCCTCAGGGGTCAGCCTCACATCTCTGTGAGTTTTATTTTCTTTTTCTTTTTTTATTATACTTTAAGTTTTGGGGTACATGTGCAGATCATGCAGGATTGCTACATAGGTATACACATGCAATGGTGGTTTGCTGCACCCATTCCTCCATCATCTACATCGGGTATTTCTCCTAATGCTAGCCCTCTTTAATCCCCCCACCCCCTGCTATCCCTCCCCTAGCTCCCCCCACCCCCCCAACAGGTCCTGGTATGTGATGTTTCCCTCCCTGTGTCCGTGTGTTCTCACTGTTCAACACCCACTTATGAGTGAGAACATGCGGTGTTTGGTTTTCAGTTCCTGTGTCAGTTTGCTGAGAATGATAGTTTCCAGCTTCATCCATGTCACTGCAAAGGAGGTGAACTCATCCTTTTTTATAGTTGCATAGTATTCCATGGTGTATATGTGCCACGTTTACTTTATCCAGGCTATTACTGATGGGCATTTGGGTTGGTTCCAAGTCATTGCTATCGTCAACAGTGCTGCAGTGAACATACATGTGCATGTGTCTTTATAATAGAATGATTTACAATCCTTTGGGTGTATACTCAGTGGTGTTTTTGCAGAGTGTCCTCTTCCTTTTGCAGAATGATTTTCCTGCCAGCACATAAGTGAGGCAATGTTATTCATGAAAGCACATCCTCAGTGCGTCTCACGGTCCAGCACTCGTTCGGCAGATAAATTATGAGTGCCGACTCTGCTGGTAGTGGGATCAGCAACCTGGGACACTGAGACCAACCCAGGCGAGGTCCCTGCCCTCAAGCCTTGGGCAGTGAGAGTTCCCAGGGGTGATTTCCCAACTTTACACTTGCCTCAAGGGTCCTAGTTGGCCACTCCTGAGCTACAACATCTGGGCACTGCCCTTCTGTCCTTGCCACAGCTAAGCCTTGGAGTTTATTATGCTTTTGTTTATCATTATTATTATTATTATTATTATTTTTTTTGAGACAGAGTTTCACTCATGTTACCCAGGCTGGAGTGCAATGGCACGATCTCGGCTCACCGCAACCTCCGCCTCCTGGGTTCAGGCAATTCTCCTGCCTCAGCCTCCTGAGTAGCTGGGATTACAGGCATGTGCCACCATGCCTAGCTAATTTTTTGTAGTTTTAGTAGAGATGGGGTTTCACCATGTTGACCAGGATGGTCTTGATCTCTTGACCTCGTGATCCACCCGCCTCGGCCTCCCAAAGTGCTGGGATTACAGGCTTGAGCCACCGCGCCCGGCCTATTATTATTATTTTTAAAGACAGGTACTCACTCTGTAACCCAAGCTGGAACACAGTAGTGTGATCTCGGCTCACTGCAATCTCTGCCTCCTGGGCTCAAGTGATCTTCCTGCCTCAGCCTCCTGAGCAACTAGGACTACAGATGGGCACCACCACATTTAGCTAATTTAAAAAAATTTTTTGTAGAGATGAAGTTTTTTACTATGCTGGTCAGGCTGGTCTCAAACTCCTGACCTCATGATCCACCTGCCTTGGCCTCCCAAAGTTCTGGGATTGGAGGCCTGAGCCACTGTGCCCAGCCTATCATTATTTTTTAAGATAAGGACTCCCTCTGTCACCCAAGCTGGAATGAAGTGGTGCGATCTTGGCTCACTGCAACCTTCACCTCCTGGGCTCAAGTGATCTTCCTGCCTCAGTCTCCTGAGTAACCAGGACTACAGGTGTGCACCACCATACTTAGCTAATTTTTTTTTTTGTATTTTTTTGTATTTTTTGTAGAGATGAGACCTCTCCATGTTGCCCAGGCTGGTCTTGAACTCCTGGGCTCAAGTGATCCACTCATCTCAGCCTCCCAAGGTGTTAGGATTGCAGGTGTGAGCCACAGGGTTCAACGTATTACATTTTTAACACCCACAGAGTGTATCTGGTTTCCCTCCTTTACTCTGCATATATCACACTATGGCTTTGTTCTTCCATTCACTCTGTGCCCACCAGACATCTCTTCTCGTCTTTCCTGGGTGGCCTGACCTCTTGGGATCCCCTCTCCCAGCCAATATTTGTGACTCGAATGAAGAGGACTGGGCCAGATGGGTCTTTCCTGCACGGTAGTTTCCTGGTGTATGTATTGTGGTCCCCGCCGGATGCTGAGTGTGCTCTCCCTTCTCTTCTGCTGCAGGTCACTGATGCCCACACAACAGTAAGTGTGGTAACAGGTGTCCTGGCTGTCGCAGGCCTTGTGGGCATGCTGCTGTACAGAAGCAAGCGGGAAAGGCAATAAATCCAAGGAATTGTCCCAACAACAACCAATTCTTATGGAAGAATATTGTTTAGCTGGCAGGAGTGCGGTTTGGTTTACTGGCTTTACTGTTTTGTGTTCATCAATCTTTATTTTAATGGAGTTAAAAGCATAGGAACATTTATTTGGGGGAAATGCAGCTTAGTGTGAATTCTATTAAATGCAGCTTAGTGTGAATTGTATTAAAGACACGATTGGGCTCTGCTATGGACTGTATGTTTTTCTGTTCCTCTCACACCCCAAATTCATACATTGAATTGTAACCCACCTGTGGGAAGGTATTGGAGGTGGGGCCACTGGGGGGTAATTAGGTTGTGAGGGTTGAGCCTCTAGGATGGAATTAATGTTCTTGTACGAAAAGGAAGAGACCAGACTGGGCGAGGTGGCTCACGCCTGTAATCCCAGCACTTTGGGAGGCTGAGGAAGGCAATCACCTGAGGTCAGGACTTTGAGACCAGCCTGGCCAACATGGCAAAACCCCATCTCTACTAAAAATACAAAAATTAGCCCAGCATGGTGGTGGGTCACTGTAATCCCAGCTACTCGGGAGGCTGAGGCAGGAGAATTGCTTGAACCCAGGAGGCAGAGGTTGCAGTGAACTGAGATCGCACCACTGCACTCCAGCCTGGGTGACAGAATGAGACCCTGTCTCAGACAAAAAAAAAAAAAAAAGGAGACCAGAGTTCGCTCTCTCCCCACCATGTAAGGACCGAGTGGGAAGGTGGCTGTCTGCAAGCCAGGAAGAGTCTCCAGGTGCTCTCAGCATAGCTGTCACCCTGACAACTGGCTGCCCTGAGCACTTACACCCTCCCTCCCACCACCACCCCCAGGAAGCACAGCTCTCCCCCTGGAGGATGCTTCTGTGCTGCATCTGCCATATTTGGTCCTGTCAGTTTCTTCACAGGAAGTGAGAAAACGAAGGGCCGAGCTGCTCCTGACCTTTCTACCCACTGCTTCAAGCTTGCACTGAGTGATGCTGCTCCAAGGCCCGAGTCTGCGACACCTACAGGGGGCAGACAGGAACTGTCCTGGGACATCAAGCAAGGCAGGGGGTGAGACTGTCCATGCCAGTCTCATCAGAGAACACTCCAGTGGCCTGGCCCAAAGAACTGACTTTTGGGTAAAATTGACTCGAAGGGAATCCAGAGCCTCCACTTAATGGCTGTGTGACCTTGGGTCAGTGGCATAGACGCTGAGCCTGGTTTGCCTTTCTATCAACTTAGTATTAAAGCTGCCCACCTTCCAGGAACTATGGAGATCATGTAGCTTGAGGATGTGGCTAGTGGTTCTGACTTCAGAATGTGTAAACACAGAACAGCTGTTGTGGTCAATTTGGGCACATTGGCCAAAACAGAGGCAGCAGGAGAAGCTGTATTTAACATCCCTTTCCTGCCGAGTGCGGTGGCTCATGCCTCTAATCCCAGCACTTTGGGAGGCCGAGGCAGGTGGATCACGAGGTCAGGAGTTCAAGAATAGCCTGGCCAATATGGTGAAACCCCGTCTCTACTTAAAAAAAAAATTACAAAAATTAGCTGGGCGTGGTGGTGGGCACCTGTAATCCCAGCTACTTGGGAGGCTGAGGCAGGAGAATTCCTTGAACTCAGGAGGCAGAGGTTGCAGTGAGTGGAGATCGTGCCCCTGTACTCCAGCCTGAATGACAGAGCAAGACTCCGTCTCAGAAAAAAAAGTAAAAAATAAACATCCCTTTCTTTGATGAGTTGAAGCTGGAGCCCAGGGCCCCATCCCTGGCCCTTGTTCCTCCACGGTGCACTTTCATGACAGCTTCCTGCTTCTCCTGTGTCTTGTGGACCAATGGTCAGGGCTCTGCAGGAAGGGCCAGGCCCAACCATGGGAACTCCTGATGGTTTGAGTAGATCTTTGCAGGAACTAAGACCCTCCTTGCTAATGTCTTAAATTATTTTCTCTTACCCCAATAGGAGACTTTAAGCCACCCAAGAAAGAGGATAGTAGGGCAGGCAGCATTGAGAGCTCCCTTGCTCCTCTGATGTTCTGGCTGTCTCAGACTCCAGCCACCTTCAGAGCACTTTCCAGTGAATGCGCATAAGCAAAACATTTCGTTGTTCATGAGGCAGGAGGGCAGCACTAGGGCTTCTCTCTGTCCTGCCAGCTGTCCAGTCACTCCTGGGCGGGGAGAGGGACGCTGTCTTCGAGAGTGACACACACAATGAAGGACAATCTAGTCCTACCACACACAGCCCAGGATTCCTGTTTCTTCAGCACCAATCAGTTTTCTTAAAAATTTCTTGAGCTGAGGCCGGATGTGGTGGCTCACACTTGTAATCCCAGCACTTTGGGAGGTCGAGGTGGGTGGGTCACTTCAGGTCATGAGTTCAAGACCAGCCTGACCAACATAGTGAAACCCCATCTCTCCTAAGAATATAAAAATTAGCCAGGTGTTGTGGTGGGTGCCTGTAATCCAAGCTAGTTGGGAGGCTGAGGCAGGAGAATCGCTTTTTTTTTTTTTTTTTTTTTTCTTTTCTGTTTTGATTTATTATTTTTCCTCAGTGCAGAGCAGACAGTAGATACTTGATAAATACTTGTTAAATGAGTGAATGAATGAACTTTCCACTTTACAGATGATAGAAATTAGATTAAGAGAGTCTTTATAACTTCTCTAGGGTTGTATAGTTTGTGAAATGGTAGAAAGAAGTATTTTTTTTCCTACTTTTATTTTAGGTTCAGGGGTACATATGCAGGTAAATTGCGTGTTGCTGAGGTTTAGCATATGAATGATCCTGTCATTCACCACTGCCAAAAATGCTAGTGATGCTGAGCATTGTTTTTTTTAATATATTTGTTGGCCACATGTAGATCTTCTTTTGAGAAGTGTCTATGTCCTGTGCTTATATTTTTAAATGGTGTTGGTTTTCGCTTGTTGAATTAAGTTAGAAGGAAGTGTTTCTTCTGCAAAGTATCTTCTACACCACCACAGTATGTTTTGGGTAGTGGCTACATTTTTGAGATACTTTTACTCATTTTCTCTCCTATCTTAGGTCAGTTACAGACTTATGCATGCCTGAACCATTGCCTCAAAGGCTTTCCTGAAGAGAAATCTCCTTTGTGAGAGGGAAATTTCAAAGAAGCAAAGCTTTGGACAGAAATCTATAACTCTTGTCAAGTCTGCCAATGTTCTTGGTACAAGTAAGATAAATTGTGATTAGCTGAAACAGAAAAGGCGTTTTGTAGAGGAATATCAAGGTGTTTATAGAATGAATGAGAGGGCTAGAGAAGCAGGCTTAAAGCTTAAAGCTCAGGAGGCAGAAGATGCAGTGAGCCGAGACTGTGCCACTACACTCCAGCCTGGGCAACAGAGCGAGACTCCGTCTCAAAAAAAAAAAAATTCTTGAGCTGAAAAACAGCCTGTGGAAGGAATATTGCATTCTCTTTTCAGCCACTTTTATCTATTTATTTTTATTTATTTATTTTTTGAGACAAAGTCTCTCTCTGTTGTCCAGGCTGGAATGCTGTGGCACTATCTCGGCTCACTGCAACCTCCGCCACCTGGGTACAAGTAATTCTCGTGTCTCAGCCTCCTGAGTGGCTGGGACTACAGGTGCCTGCCACCACACCTGGCTAATTTTTGTATTTTTTGTAGAGATGGGGTTTTGCCTAGCTGGACAGGGTAGTCTTGAACTCTTGACCTCAGGTGATCTGCCTGCCTCTGCCTCCCAAAGTGCTGGGATTATAGGTGTGAGCCACCATGCCTGGCCTTCAGCCACTTTTCTTAGCAAAAAGACTTGCTAAGTACTAGGACTGTCCAGAGGTGATACAATCATTTAATGAATTTAATGAAAAAATAAAGTATACATTTTAGTGGAATCTAGTTCATGGAAGTCAGTCCAGAGAGGTCTAGAACTGGTTCAGTGTATTTCTCAACTTTATAGCAACACAATTTTGGTGGGAGTTAACCTTTACTGTGGTGGCCACAACATTTTTTCGAGAAGAGTCGTCATATTTTTTATTCTTATTTTTTACCTGTACTTTTTTTTTTTTTTTTAAAGATGAGATCTCAGGCTGTGGCTGAGGCTGGAGTGCAGTGGTATGATTATAGCTCATTGCAGATTTGAACTCCTGGTCTCAAATGATTCTTCTGCCTCAGCCTCTTAACTGCGACTACAGGCATATGCTGTAAGAGTTAAAGAAAGGAAAGAAACACAAAAAGCAGCTCAACAGTCAAAGACAGGTTTATTTCAAGAATCAACCTGAGAGGGGCTTCTGGTTGATTTCAGTCAGGAATGTTCTTACAAACTAAGGGTATTTAAGAGTTTAGGAAGTGGGGAGCTTATCCTAGGTTTGAAATGTTTCTATGTGAGGGAAAGTTTATTGCAGGGTTAAAATGTCTCTGACCAGAAGAGAGGCTATCTTGGGTTGGCATGTTTCTGGTTGGAAAAAATGGGTTTATCTCAGGGTTGGAATGTTTCTGGCTACGCTGACATGAGTCATTAGGCTGATGTTTTTGGGCTGGATATAGGCATTTTTTTTTTCCAGATCTTGCAGTGAGAGGCAGTTTTTTAATTGAGGGGAACTTAGCATGGTGGTGTTTGTCCAAGATGGTGATGCTCCTGCTCTGCCACGTGCCACCACACCTGGCTAATCTTTTTTAATTTTTAATTTTTATTTTTTGTAGAGACAGGGTCTTACTATGTTGACCCTGTTGTTACCTATGCTGGCCTTGAACTTCTGAGCTCCAAGGAGCTCAAAACCTCCTTTGGCCTCCCAAAGTACTGGAATTACAGTACTTTGTGCGCCCCGTGCCTGGCCCTGTTTTTCTTAACTAATAAATTTATTAATTAAGTAAACCACTATCTTTTTTTCTTTTTAAGAGATGGGATCTCACTATATTGCCCAGGCTGATCTCGAACTCCTGGGCTCAAGCAATCCTCCTGCCACAATCTTTCAAGTGCTGGGATTACAGGTGCATGCTACTGTGCTTGGCTTGTAATCTATTGTCTATTGAGTGCTTATAGTAAGTTAGCTGTTGTGCTTGATGCTATGGTCCCAATGGTACCAAACTTGTACTGCCCCCAAAATTCTGGCAGGGAAAGACACATTAGTAAAATAACCACATGGATCAGTGTTCATTGCAACTCTGAGAACCACATGAAGTGCAGGTACATGGACGCCTGAGACTCCTAATGGGGATTTGACCTAGTCATGGAGGCCAAGCACACCTTGGAAGGGTCTGGATGCTTCCATCGTCCAGCACACTGGAACAATTGATCCTGGACATGCAATGAAGTCTGGGAAGGTAAGTCTTAGATCACAAGAAGTGAGAAAGCCTTCTTCTCTTGCTGGGCCTGGATTCTGTGTAGAGCAGGTGGGCCCTCTGATATGGAGGTAGCCCTGGAGCAAGGCAGGCATGGATGCTTCTGCAATCCCCAAATGGAGCCTGGGATTTCAGCCAGAAATCTGAGCAGAGCCCCCTCTAATTGTAGCAATAAGTTGTTCTCTTTGTTCTTCAACCTTCCAATAGCCCTGAGCTTCCAGGGGAGTCTCACTAATCATTACATACAGCCTGGTCTCCATTGTGTTGGGGGAATTAACGTACCAACCGGGTTGCTCACGCATGAAAAAGTATAGCCCAGGAGAGGGTGATGTCCCCAGTCCTGAAGCAAGAATGATGGTGGCTGCAGTGACCTCATGGAAGTGGCCATTGAGTAGGGTCACTGGTGGCAGGGGCTGGAGTGAGGAAGCACAGAAACATGGGGACCTGGGCACTTCTGGGACCACACCCAGGGCATGCTGAAAGTAGTGGAGGGAGGTTTAGAGGTAGCTAATTCTCAGCATTCCTCCCAGGACCAGCTTGAGCCATGGCAGTTTGGGCATGGAAAGAATATTACTCCATCTTGTAGTCACAGGTGGGTGAGAACTCAGACCTTTGAACTAAAAGAAGAAAAGAGAAATTTCTAAAAAGAGGGCCAGGTGAAGGAGGTAACTGGGAAGATGCTGGTAGATGTCAGGGGATTTAAGCACCCTGTGAGACTATACTGGGAGGTAATTAAGTTTTTTTCACCTTCCTGAGAGTAAAATTAGTGACATGCAATTATGTCGATGTTATGTCTGTGTAGAATGACGGAGACAATTCACTGAACATCTGTTACGTATCAGACATGGTGCGGGGCATCTTGTATGCCTCATCTTATGTGATTCTCCCGACATCACCTGACATGAAATAACTGAGGTTCTGAGAATCAAGAGCTTTCTCTAAGGTCACACAGCTAGAAATTGCTGGAACTACCCAGTAGGTGTTCACTCAATGTTACTTTCCTCCTTTGTAATTTAGAAGTCTACAAAAACATGGTAGAAGTCCTTTCTGAAGGGGTAAATGGATGTTTATTGATCCTTCAGTCTTGTTTCAATTAGATCATCCTTTAGCCAGCAAGAGAAGGAAACAGAGAGGAAAGGAGCTAGAGACAGCCCGAGACAGAGAGCAAGGGTCAGGCTACTGGAGGCGTGGGGAGGCCCATTTCCACTGGGACCTCCACAGCTGCTTCTAACACAGGATATTGTGACTGCTTCAGGTTGTCACTGGTTTAGGTATCTCCCAATCGCAAAAGAGCTTCCAAGAACAATTCCAAGAATAATCATGACCACACCTTTGTCAACCGTGCTTTCCACCTGCAAAGCAAGCAGCTTTTGTTGAGATTCACAGCAAGCCCACGCTGGCACTTTCTCCCTCCCAAGGGCCTGGAACTCCTCTCCCTCTCCTTGCTGTCCTGCCTCCCCTACGGCCTGGCATCTCCTGTCTTCTCCCCTCCCCGCTGGCTGGCTCAGAATCCTCTCCCAGAGAAGCTGTTGGCTGTGTCCCCGGGGTCTCCATTTTTCTGGGCTGTGACCACTTCTTGGTGTTGGGCTTGTCCTGAGAATGGGCTGATGAGATCCTTTTGAGACAGCTTCCAGGTGAGGACATCTGTTCTGATTTGGGGCAAGGAAGAAGGGTTGTGCCTCGCTTCCCAGGGTCAGAGTGCCAGGGGTCAGACTGGGGATTGGTTTGCAGCCTGGGTCCTACCTGAGCTACACCTTTGCACAGGGAGGGCTGTGGCAGAAGCTGAGGGGAGACTTAGGGAGGCCATGGCCATGTGCGTGCCTTGGGGTCACTGTGTACCATTCCCAACTGCAGCCTGGAAACGTCCAGCCCTACTTCAGCCTGAACTCCAACTCCATGCCTTATCTCCACCTGGGCCTCTAGTGGGGCGCCTCAGACATCACATACCACACCAAACTCTTGTTTTCCTTCCCCAAAGCCTCTCCTTCTGCCATCATGCCCCTCTCAGCAAGGGCCCCCATCCATTCAGTCATGCAGGCTAAGGGGCCTGAGCTGCTGCTGGGCCGGCATCACAGGCAGAGACTCTAGAAGGGGACAGCTGGGGTTTGAATCCTGGTTCTGCCACTTATTAGTTGTGTTTTGGGGCAAGAAATGTGAAACACTATGAAGGAGGAAGGGATAGAGGCTGTGCGCAGATCTTACGCACAAATGTTCTTGAGCTCTTACATAGGTTCACAGACCCTGAGTGTCCTGAGTGCTCTTTGGGGGGTTATGGGACCTGTCATGGACCTGCGTTGGCCCAGATTCTCCTGATGACCCACAGAACTTCAGGGGCCATTTTCAGCGTAGGCTTTAGAGGGGAAGGATCCTCAGAGGTCCTCCATCCACCCCCTCCTCTGCACATGGAGAGGCCTGGAAGGGAAGGGACCTGTCCACAGACCCTCTGTGGATTAGAAGCAGATCTGGCATTGGAGCTCAGAGGTCCTGACTTTCAGCCAGTGGGTCTCTAAGAGGCTACATTTGCATCATTCATGGTGATGCAGTGAGCGCAGCCCCAAGCAGACATCCCTAGGGGAGATGGATCATCCAGAGAGGTCCTTACCTGTTTACAGCGGGACTTGCCATATCTCAGCTCGGTAACAAAGTGCTCACAGTTCCTTCTCACAATATTGTACTCCATCTTCTGACCAACCTTCTTCTTCGCAGAACTGATGATCACCTGAATGGGCCGTGGTCTGTACTCACGGTCCAAGCTGTTGTTGACCCGATAGTTACAGCCTTCCACCACATCCTCCAGGCGCTCCTGCTTCACTACTGCATTGCGGTCTAGGACTGACAGGGCACTGGAGGGGCCAGCTCTGGGGTATTCACCTGCAATCAGAGACACACTCACTGGCAGGGGAAGGCGAAGTCGGGAGAGAAGGGCTTGAAGTCTCCACTAGGGAGCTACTGGGGTTTATCCTTTCACATATGTGATTAAAGGCTTCACAGATTTTGCTTTTTTTTTTTTTTGAGGTGGAGTTTCCCTCTTGCTGCCCAGGCTGGAGTGCAGTGGCGCAATCTCGGCTCACTGCAACCTCCACTTCCCAGGTGCAAGCGATTCTCCTGCCTCAGCTTCCTAAGTAGCTGGGATTACAAGCATGTGCCACCACGCCTGGCTAATTTTGTACTTTTAGAGACAGGGTTTCACCGTGTTGGCCAGGATGGTCTCAACCTCCTGACCTTGTGATCTGCCCGCCTTGGCCTCCTAAAGTGCCAGAATTACAGGCATGAGCCACTGTGCCCGGCCCTCTTTTTTTTTTTTTTTTTTTTAAAAATCAAATAAGGTGTGAATGTTTGTTCAGGTCAGCGAATGCCATGATTGTCTGTGGCTGCTACCATATTTCATTCTATGCATGTATATCACTTATGTGACTAATCCCTATTAGCAGTCATTTAGCTATTGGAAAAGTTTTCATCATTATAAACAATGATGGCAAAACATACTTATTACCTGTTCAGCTTTGTACACTTATGTTTCAGAAAAAGATCCAATTCGTTTTTGTACCTACTGTTTCAGTTACCATGCTGTGCTGTTCCATATACTTCCTAATTTAATCTCCTTTTTAATGTTCAAGGAAAATTATCATCTCTATTTAAAAACCAATATTGGTCTGAGAGAGACATTTGAGACTTTTCTGTGATATGAAAAGTCCCAGAATCAGGATGTGAAACTGCTTCTCTTAAGCCCCAAAGGGCAGGATCCTTCCACTGCTCTGAGCTGACCCTGAGGGAATCCTTTGTAAAGTTGGCTGTCCTACCATCTGGCTCAGTTCTAGGCACATAGAGAGGTACAGGAAGAGCTGTCAACCAATGGAGTCTCAATTCCATGCTATAGTGACTCCATGCTATAGTGTTATCTTATTTTTATTAAAATGGATAGTACTTAATGCACACAATAATTAGATGTGTTTCCTCTCTTGCCCCTGTTTCTAATGTCAAGGCTGATGTTTGCACTTAGAACCCACTTAAGAAAATCCTGTTGGCTGGGCACAGTTGCTCATGCCTGTAATCCTAGCAGTTTGGGAAGTCTAAACAGGTGGACTACTTGAGCCCAGGAGTTCGAGAGCAGCCTGGACAACATGGGGAGACCTGTCTTTACAAAAAATACAAAAATTAGCTGTGTGTGGTGGCACATGCTTGTAGTCCCAGCTCTTCAGAAGGCTATGGTTGGAAGATCACCTGACTTGCGCTTGGGGAAGTCAAGGCTGCAGTGAGCCGTAATCACGTCACTGCACACCAGCCTGGGTGACAGAGTGAGACCCTGTCTCAGAGACAGAAAAAAAGAAAACGGAAAAAAAAAAGAAAGGAAAATTGTCTTAAAAAAGCCTCTTTACACCCTGCAAGTCAGGCACAAAAGGGACCATGTGTCCTCATTGCCATGCTTTGTCTTACAAGGTCCTTGAGGGTCATCTGGATTAAGTGTGCTTGATTTGCTATTTTCCATCAATTCAGACATTTTTACAACTCTGTCCTGGGAGTTGAAGATGTCCTGGGAGATGAGGGCTTGGAGAAAACTAGAAAGATGCAAACTTCTTTCTCTGATAGTGATGGGAATGGTTTTGTCCAGTGATGACGTAAATGGTAAAAGAGAACTTCGAAAGTTATACAGTGGCATTACCCTAGAGGACATGAACCTGCCGGCACCTACCTAACTTGGCAGTCTCATTGTCTCATTTCTGCATTGTTGTCGTTGATTGAGATGATGTCTTGCTCTGTCGCCCAGGCTGGAGTGCAGCGGTACCATTCTGTGATCTTGGCTCACTGCAACCTCCACCTCCTAGGTTCAAGTGATTCTCCTGCCTCAGCCTCCCGAGTAGCTGGGATTACAGGTGTGCACCACCACATCTGGCTAATATTTGTATTTTTAGTAGAGACGGAGTTTCACCATGATGGTCAGGCTGGTCTTGAACTCCTGACCTCAAGTGATCTGCCCGCCTTGGCCTCCCAAAGTACTGGGATTACAGGCGTGAGCCACTGTGCCTGGCCTCTGCATTTGTTTTTTTACCCTTTCATTGACTGTCCATACATCATTTCCTTCATTCTGCTTTTAACTGGGTATGTCATCTTGCTGCTTCTGTTGTTAATGAGGTAAATAAATCATTGACCTTGCTTACTGTGCATTTGTATGAGAATTTTTTTTTAAATGTATAAACCTGTGAGAATTGCCTCCGTTAAGGACTCTTAAGTACATAATATCAAGACACTTTGTTCTGTGAAAACATATGAGGCAAAGGATATAATATGGAGGACCATTATTCTTTTTCAGAAACTTTCTTCTTTGAGACCTCAGAAACCTGGCTGGTTTAAGTTGTATGAGGCTCTGCAAGCCAAGGTAACTGACTTTGAGCTAGAGAGATCCCAAGGCTGAAGCAGTCCAGCTTCACTGCGGGAGGCAACGGTCTCTTTTCCTATTCTGCCAGGACTGACGGAATCCAGTGTCTACTGCATGGGACATATGTGTACAGTCTCATCAAGCATCCTCTAAGAAGAATGTGTCTCCTAACTCGTTTCCCTTGCTTAACTCTCTTTCAGTGGCTCTCGTGATCCCATTAATAAATATTTTGAAAATTATATATTCATCAGTCCTTACTTGGAGGAGCCAGATGGATCACGTAGCCGTCACCCACATAGAGGGCCCAGTGCTGATAGCCAAGGCGGAAAATCTCAATCAGGTCTCCAGGTTTCAGCTCTTGGTGTGGCTGCAACAAAAAAGTCAGAGATGGTGTATACGACCTTGTAGGCGAGAGCAGAGACCCTGGCTAGGGGAGCTGCAGCTCGTCCTGGAGACGCCTTGCTGATGTTCATGAGCTCCTAGCTCCCATGAGATCTCCAGCCCTGCTGTCACTTTTAGAGGCTCTCCTCACTTGGGGCACCGGGGACTGGAAGCCTTGAAAATGATACTGCAGGATGGGAGAGACAAGGACCATATGGGCGCCTGTGTGGCACGCTGCGTGCAGTGCGTGCCGTGCCGTGCGTGCCTGCCGTGCCGTGCGTGCCTGCCGTGCCGTGCGTGCCTGCCGTGCTGTGCGTGCCTGCCGTGCCGTGCGTGCCTGCCGTGCGTGCCGTGCGTGCATGCTGAAGATGCGGATGTGCGTGTGTCCTGCGGAACCCGCATGGACCAGCACTTGCTCTGAGGCCGGGAGCAAGGCTGGGAAGGTGAGTCTTGAGCTCTCCGCCCTCTGCAGACTGACCCTTGGTTTCTCATCACTCCTCGTCCCCTGTGCCTATCCATGGCCCTGAGAGCCACCTCCTTCTCAGACCCTGCCGCATCCAGCTTCGGGACACACATCTCTTGGAATTGACGCTCTGGGAGACAGGAGCTCACAGCAAGAGCTGGGGGCTCTGCACTCACAGAACAGGCCTTTGTGGGAACTTGCCCTAAGATAACTGCACCCTCTCCACAGTCCCAGGGGAAGGCATGATCATCCCATTGCACAGGTGGGGAAACTGAGGATCAGAGAGGTGGAGGGGTTTGCCTGAGGACACCCAGCTGGGAGGCGGCCAAGCTGGGTCTTCCCTGAGCACCCCTCACCCCGGTTCCTGTCTCTCCCACCTTCTTCCCCTTTCTCAACTCCTCCCCACTTTGCCATGTCTCTCTGCAGGGTGTAACAGCCTCATGGTCAGAATTTTTTCCATTCCACGCTCTCTGTGCCTGTCCGCAGTGGGGGTGACAGCCTCCTCTTCCCTCATCCCAGGATGTCCCATCATAGACCTGGGGTCTGCTCACCTCTGCCCTCTTCCTCATGCCAATAATCAGTCACTAAAACCAATCATGTGGACTCCAAAACCTTCTCCTGGTTGGTGTCCTTTTAATATCCCACCCAATGACTTGGTTCAGACAGCCCCATGCCTGCCTCTGTGACCCCTACAGCCGCCTGACCAGCCCCCGCCTCCTGTCCCTGCCACTCCATATCCAACCCCTCAGGACCCAAGGCAGCCTTCCCAAGGGCACATCTGGCCATGACCTTCCTTTGGCCTCAGGACTCAGGACACAGCCTGTGGGCAGCTCCAGGCCCTTCCTGACCAGCCCTTCCTCACCCTCCTCTCCCTCCCTGGGCTCTGCACCTGCAGGCCCACTGAGCGACATCCCAGCCCCTCCCACAGCCCTGGCTCTGGCCTCTGCTGCTTTGCACATCTGGGTCTCTCTGCCTCCCTCATTTCCCTGCACCCACTCTTTCTCTTCCCCTCCCTCAGACCCCCTCACCTGAGAGGCTGCCCTGATGGCCCCAGCCTGGGTCAGCTGACCCGCCACCCTACTCCCGGGGCCTTCGCTCCTCTCTGCAGGAGTCAGGTTGAGCTGAAATTCCTTCTGCCTGTCGGTATGCACCTCTGGTCTGTTGAGCTCCAGGCAGGCAGGATCCTGTGAGCTCCTCCCTCCCTCCTTCCCTCTATCCCTCGATCCCTTCATCCCTCCCTCCATCCCTGCACCTCCAGGATCCAGTGAAGGATGTGGCATGGAATGGGGCAAAGGAAACGGACATGAAAGAGGGAGGGGAAAGGAGCAGGGCCAGGACTCCTGCCCAGCTCCTCCTCTGTGCATCAGGGCCCCGCAGGACCCAGAGATGGTCTCCATGTGGGGAGAGAGAGGGACTTTTAACCATAATGCTGACTGTGTAAAACCACAGTCAAGGCACTGGCAGCAGCAGCTGGTGGCCAATGAAGTATGAGCTTTGGCCTAAATAAAGAAATAGCTCCCTGTTAACAGCCCTGATTTGTTTTGGCAGCAATAAAGCCCTTCCCCAGAATCAGGAGGTGCTGTTGGAGTGGGCTGCCCTTCAGAATTTGCAAGACTCTTTACTGGAATAGTTTCATTTCTAGTAATAGCCTGAGTTCAGCTCTTCCTTTTCTGTCACACACCACTGAGCTCAGCCTGCTCTCTCTGGAGCTTCTGCCCGTCGGTACATGGGGGCTGATAGGAGGAGAGATTTCAGCATTCAGAATGCTGCTGAGAATTCACCTTTAAAGAGGGTAATACTACAGAGGAACGAGGAGAGAGAAAGCACTGTTTGGAGTTAAGGAATTGAGTCCCATTCTCAGCAGAAGCAGATGATGGTGGCATTTGCTCACTTCCCACCACCCAGGATCACCCACCTGACCACAGCCTTCTCCACTGGCACCCCACAGCTCTCTACTACATGGGGGGTCTGTGCCAGATACACAGAGGAGGTGGGCTCTACTCAGAGCCCCACTGTCCAACTGGACGGTTGCACTGTTAAAAGACAAATACAGTTTTCTATGACAGCCTTCTAAAGGCAAGCTCTGGAGCTGTGCCCCAGGCCAGGAGCCCAGACTGAGGCCTTTCCAGCGCAGAGCTGCCCACCTGCTGTAGAGTCAGTAATGCAAAGTTCTGGGAAACTTACCGAAGCCATCTTGAAGCCAAGGTGCGGTCTGGGGCTCTGCTGTTTGTGGATCAGCTTTTATACTGAAATGGAGAATTTCACTTTCACTTTTGATATTATTTTACCTCCCTTAAATACTAAACACTGTTCAAGAGAGACAACTGTTTAAAAATGAGATATTTCTTTAGATGAAAAGACTCAGACTTTCCAACACAAGCCATGGACTCACTGGTGCTTTAAAGCCACCTTACGAGCAGCGAGAGTAGAAGGGGAGCCCTGAATTTTCTGCCCCTGCTTGAGAAATAAAGGTCTCTTGTAACAAGAACCCTGGGCAGCTCTTCCTACCCCAGGAAGGGGAGGGATTTGGAGGCAGGGAGATGTCAAACCTCAGTGCACCCCATAGGACATTGTCTTGTAATGACACCCAGAAAATAAGGGGCAAGAAGTCTCTGGGGAAGACCAGAGGAGGTGCTTCACAGCATGGAGATGGCCTGGAGATGAGGGTACCTTAGGCTACGTGGAACACAGGAGCTCATGGCTCCATAAAAATGCATGTGGCTGCAAGAAGCTGAACTAAACCCAAAGAGGCTTCAACACCCTGGACACCCGTTGTTTCGGTAACAGAAAGGCAGGAAGAGGGTGGCTCAGGTTGGGTCTAGTGGCTCACCAAGGTCAGCAAGGACTCAGGTAGGCTCTCTTATTGCACTGGTCCTGGCTCTGCACTGTTGCCCTGCAGGGACTCCCATGGCTGTAGCAGCCTCGAGTGGCCCATTTTTCACCTGGCAATGCCCAAAAGATGGAGGGAAAGATTATTCTGATCATTTGTCTTTTTTCAGGGAGTAAAGTCCCTTTCTCCATTGGCCAGAATTGCGTCATATTTCCACACCCAACCAGTCATGGGCAAAGGGGAAGGGGCCACCCTGCTGGGCTGAGCCCCGCCCAGTGCATCACCTGGACCTGTGGGAGGGGCTCCTGCTGCTCAGGGAGCCTCACAGCCAGGGAGAAGGTGACAGACAGTGGGGCGTGTGTGCAGAAAAAGCTGCTGCCTAGGGAACCAACACCTGAGACACAACAACTTGTTTACCATCTGCCATAACAAACAGGTTCATTCTAAGGCTACCAAAAATGCTGGAACTGGTTCTCATACAATCAGTCTGCTTCCGTATAGCAGCAGGCAGGAAAAATGGGAGACGAGTGACTCCTTGGAGCCTGGAAGAGAAAATGGCAGGCCTGCGGAGGTGGCAGAGCCCTTATCAGAGACAATTCATGCCTGGGAGCCCCAGAAAAGGCACCCCCTTTCATCAGCCCCCACTGCCCCCAGGATCCCTCGATCAGATAGCGCCCTAGACTTACTGGTCCAATGAACATTGGCCCCTTTGTCTTCTTTCTTCCTTGACCCCAGGCCTGGTGCTGTGCATTCTGTTTCCAGGACAGCTTCATTTGTAAAGGAAATTTAAGGGTCACTGATCATATACCTCTCTGTATTAAGGTTATATTCAACATGGAAAAAGAAAAAAGAAGAAAGTAAGCTGCAAGTCCTTGGCTTTTACAAGTAGTATCACTGTGGGTGGTGTCTCCGCTCTCTTCATGTCAGCTATCTCCTCTTGAAGAGGCAGGGTGTCATCTTTCAGGTCTGACAGCCTGTGAATCTGTGGATCTGGAACTACAGAAGGATTGGGGACCCTGATCATACCTGGCCCAGCTGGAGTCATATCCATCAAGAGACTCAGGCTCTGAGGCCCAACTTCAGGTTAAAAGTTGCCAGATGGATTTTCCAGCCCAGTTTGTGCCTCTTCCCTCCCCAGCTCCTCTGGTGCCTCACCATTCAGAATGTCACCCTTGCCATGCCCTTCTTGCCTTCTTTCCTCCTCAGAGCTTTGCTGTCAGGTTTGATCTGCATTTGAGCTGTTCCTGACATTGATACATCCTGAAAAATATTCAGCAAAGTCTGGGATTTATTCCACGTCTTTGCCCCTCAGCTGTTTCTAGGGTCCTCTCTATGCTGACCAGTGACAGATCAGAGTGTCACCTCTGGCGTCAGCTAGGAGAGAAGAGAAGATGTCTCAGGGAGGAGGGGGTGCTGGCCCTTGCATTGCTCCATAGGTGAGCAAATGTGAGGGGTCTGTTGTGAGACTCAACTCTGAGATGACACGACACACTGGTGCAAAGCCCAGCACACAGATGGACCTCACCTTGTATCTTTATTCAGTAGGTATCTTCTGAGCACCTACTGTGGGTCAAGCTCTGTTTAGGCACTCAGGATCTATGTGTGAACACAGCAGATAAACACGGATAACCGTTGTGGATCTGACGTTGGAGAGCCAGACATTTAGTGAAATGGATATTATGTTAGACGGCCAAATGTTGAGAAAAATGAAGGGAACGGGGATAGGGTGTGATGAGGAGGTGCAGTTTTCAGTAGAGTGGTTCGGGACAGCTTTACTGAGCTGACTTCTGAGTAAGGAACTCAAGGGGGTAAGAGAGTGAGCCCTTCACATGTACATGGGAAGAATGTCTTAGACAAACAAACAGTGGTTGCTGAGGCTTTGAGGCTGCATGTGTCTGGCAGGGTATTTAAAGCCAGGGAGCAGCTCATAGGGGATGACAGCAGAGAGGTGACAAAGTTTTGATCTATATGGGGTCATTCAGGCTGTTGTGAGGGTGCTGATTTTTACTCTGAATCACATGGGAGCCCCCTTGACTACACAGGAGAATTGACTCCACAGGCAATAGCGCTGGCAGTATTCCCACAACCGTGGCAGCAGGGTGGCAAGAAATGATTGGATTATTGATATATTTTGATGGCAGAGTGTATTAGTCTGCTTGGGCTGCTATAACAAATACCACACATTGAGTGGTATGAAAATACATTTCTGGGCTGGGCACGCTGGCTCACACCTGTAATCCCAGTGCTTTCAGAGGCCTAGACAGGTGGATCACTTGAGCCTAGGTGTTCAAGACCAGCCTGGCCAACATGGCAAGGCCGTCTCTACTAAAAATACAGAAAAAAAATTAGCCAGGCATGGTGGCATGCACCTGTACTCTCAGGTACTTGGGAGGCTGAGATGGGAGGATCGCTTGAGCCCAGGAAGTCAGGCTGCAGTGAGCTGAGATTGCACCACTGCAGTCTAGCCTGGGCAACTGGAGTGAGACCCTGTTCCAAAGCAAAACAAAACAAAATGAAAATCCATTTCTGTTGTTTAGGTTAGCATGCCTCTGGGTTTCTCTCAAAATGCTGTTGAGTGGTGTCGCTGTTCTTGGGCAAAGCTTCCAGGGGCTGCTGTGGATGTCATGAGGAGGCCTCAGAGCTTTCTTGGGCAGAGCTTCTGCAGGTATCTTGCCATGGTCAGTGTCTTCGCTGTTTTGATGGCTCTCTGCAGGAGTGGCCATGGTCATGATCTCAGCCACCTTTTGATTTCACTTTCTTGTCAGGTCTTGGGGGTGTGTGGCCACAGCAGATGTTATCTGATTACCTCAGTCCATTATACCTATGTTTATCATTTTGAGGGGTCAGCAGTTTCACAGTGGGCTGAGTCACTTGCCATAAGTGACTCCATTTTGAAATATTTAGGATCACAAAACTCTTTAAGAGAGCCCCACAAAGAGTCTGGATTCAGCAATCCCAGAGTCTAGGTTTTTGCCTTGTGACATAATAAAAAATTTTATTTTTAAATAAATTTATGCCTTGTAGCAGAATAAAAATTTATTTATGCCTTATGGCATAATAAAAAATACATATTTTTGGTTTTTACCCCCAGTTCCAGACACAGAGCTCCTCAGACCCTGGTAATTTCCTGAGCGATAGGCTGTCTTGTTATTCACGAGTCTCTGTCAAACAAACCTGAGTTTATGCTAATAAGGCGACTCTTGGTTGAGGAGTGGTAGCTGGGTAACTTCAGGATGGGGACCAATCACCATTATTTAATCAATAATGTCTACATCATGAAGCCTCCATAGAAACCCCTACATGACGGGGTTGGGAGGGCTTTGGGGTGGGTGAACACACTGGCCTTGCGCGAGAGGGCATGGTGGCAAAGATTCTCTGCTTGACCACATTTTAGTCAGGCTCCCAAACCTCTTCCTAGACCCATCTGGACTTCTTTGTAAAATCTAATTTTAGCAAAGGACCCTGCCGAGTTGGTATAGCAAGACAATACCAGGTTTATCCTCCTCCACTGTTTTCCAAGTAAGTCTCATCACCCCAGGCTCTCTTGAGCAAGAATCCTGTTAGTGTGGCTTAACCAGAATCCCTCTTGCCCCTGAGGTTTCTTCTTCATAATTTTCCATCCATCCACCGACCTCTAGCTTCTCCTTGCCTATAAATTCCCACTTGCCCATGCTGTATTCAAGTTTGAGCCTCATCTCTCTCTCTCCTGCTGCAAAATCCCAGTGCAGTGGGTATCAAGATTGTATCATTAGTGAATTTTTTCTTTAACAATGGAAGCCCTGCACAGTCACTGTCCCCATATCTTGCCTTATTAGTTTCTTCCATTTGGGCTATTCCTGAGTTGTATCCTTTATAATAAACTGACAATAGTAGGTAAAGCACTTTTCTAAATTTTGGAATTTGTTCTAGGGAATTATTAAATTTAAAGGGGCTTTAGTACCCAGCATTGGTAGTCAGCCAGGTAGAAATGTGAGTAGCCCAGGAGCTCCATCAGCTGCTGAGCCTGGTGCCCCGTGTAGAGGCTGAGCCTGACTCTGGGTAGTTAGTGTCAGAATTGAGTCGGATTGTTGAACATGCAGTCAGTGCTGGAGAACTGCAGCGGGATTGATTGATGTGGACAAATGTCATGTATTTGGTTGTTATCAGAGGAAACCACACACGCCTGCTTCTGTTACTCGAAAAAAACCGGGGTTTGTTCACTTGGTAACAAACGACTATTCATGAGAACACAGGTGTTGATCAATAGGAGTTTTATTACTTGGCATAAGTAAGGAGGACGCTGGGAGGATTCTCCAAAGCAGTGTCTTCCCTAGGAAAAGGGACAGAAGGGTTTTTTGGGTGATGGAGAGGGGAGAGGGTGCATGCAGAGGAGGAGTCCCAGTCGCATAGCTGCAGTGAGTCATCGTGCTGACACATAGGTTGCACGTTATGGTAATGAAGCTATAGCCCCTCTGGGGTGGAGACTTTAGCATGGTAATGAGCAAAGTTCACTCAGGTTCATCTGTAAGTTGCTGGGATCTGTCAGGAGCTGGTTTTAACCAACCACGTGACTGCATTCCATGCAAGGTTTAGGAAGAAACAGGCTGCAACATGGTAGGTTGTAAAAGGCTGATTACTCAGATAACAAAGTTACTATAATCCCTGGAAACCCTTCCTGTTTGCTTACCCTTCCAGTTCATTAAAGCTTGTGCTGAGGTTGAAATAGCTTGTAGTAGTGTCAGGTTTTAGCTTAGAGTTAGTGCCAGGAAGTTGGGGTCTTTCAGGATTCCAAAACAGCCAGTGTCCTTTCTTCAGCGGCACCAAAGCTTAGATGCTGCAGGAGTGACGGCTCTGTTCCAAGGGACAAGCGGGGCTTTCTTAAGCCTGTTCTGCTTTGTCAGACTTGGAGTCCAAACGGGCCCACATCAGGTTGGATAATCTGCTCCTGTGGATCAGGCATCTAATCCCACAAGAGCGCATTAGCAACCTAAAACCTTCTTTGAAAAATTCCGGAAGCATTTCTCCATCTGGAGACTGCCTCTCTTTCTCTATTGCATTCTTTTTTCATTCAGAGGCTCCAATAGGTAACAATAATAGCAGAAATAATCAGATACAAAGACTTATTTGTTTTTAATACTCAAAGAATTTAAATTCCAACGAGCCCGCTGACAGCAAAAATCTAGGAAGTTGTGCTTCACCACCACCACTTTCTTCTTACAGCTTTCCCTGATTGGGATGGTCCCTCTAGCATTTATGAAATTATAAGCATATGATATTTTACGTTAATTTATGCTGTATATCTAGAAGCAATAGCTGCTGTAAACCAAAAAGTATTTGAGACAGGTCTCAATCAATTTAGAGATTTATTTGGCCAAGGACACATCCAGGAAAAAAGGAACAGAAAACCATAGGAAACATCTGTGGTTTGTGCTTTTTCCAAAGTGCATCTGGGGACATCAGTATTTAAAGGGAAATGTGTGGGCATTAGTGGAAAGAGAAAAGGGAAAAAAAGGGAGGGCAGATAAAAGAGGCAAGTCTTTGATCAGCATTACTGAATTCGCTTTTTTTTTTTTTTTTTTTTTTTGAGACAGAGTTTCGCTCTTGTTGCCCAAGCTGGAGTGCAGTGGCGAGATCTTGGCTCACTGTAACCTCTGCCTCCTGGGTTCAAGTGATTCTCTTGCCTCAGCCTCCCAAGTAGCTGGGATTACAGGCATGTGCCACCAAGCCTGGCTAATTTCGTATTTTTAGTAGAGACAGGATTTCTCCATGTTGGTCAGGTTGGTCTCTGACTCCCGACCTCAGGTGATCTGCCTGCCTCTGAGATAGGGACAAAAACAGAAGCCTAAGCACTGCCATCTTATAGAGAAGCCACCTGGGCTCTGGGCAGAGGTGTCGTTCTCAGAACTGTTATTGTACTGCAGTTCTCAGAGGTGTTAAGGGTAAAAACGTCCACTGCTACCCACCTCCCCTACAGCAAACCGTTAACTTTAGCTTCTGTACAGACAGCTTGCCTTGCACACCCCTGGGCCCCCCTGAATAAGGATGTGGTTTTGCAGCTTAAATGCCTTGCTCCCCCTGAGCTCGGGGCCACGGGTTGGAGAGACATGAGTCCTCCGTGGGCGCCGGCAATAAAGACCCTGCAATTTGGCATACTTTTGTCTTGGTGTTGATTTTCTGCCCGTTCAAATTTATGCTTTTTAGGGTCCCTGTGTCAAGGCGACCAAAAACCACAGGGGCAAGAAACTTGCAGCCAGCCTGGCAGCTGTGAGCTTAGGGTGGCTGCAAGCTCAGTTTTAAACTAACACCAAAAGTGTTTTTTCCTTTCTCTGCTGACCGCCAGCCCTGCCCAGCTTTCAGGCAGGCCACACCACCTCAGGGTGCAGTATTTGCATCCAGAATACGACTCAAGAAAGCTTTCTGCCTGTCCTTACTACAAGTGGCCTGTTAGCATAGTGGTTAAGGTATAGGGCCTGCAACTGCAAGGCTGCTGGTTCAGATTCTCAGTGGAGCCAGTCTTAAATTTAAAAGGAAACTTCTTGGGAAAATTCAGAAGCTAAAAGCTATAGTTCAGTATAATCCGTCTTGGTTAGAATTGGCTCTCTCTACAGCATAACTTTTCCATCTAAATTGGCTTAAAACAAACAAAAAAAGCATAGTTAAAACAGGTTCCAGGACCCCGAGAAAAACCAAATGGGGTCATCTAGCTCCTGGCCCTGCACCCTCCTCTGATGTATGATGGCCAATTTCAACATGGGGTTTTCAGGACAATATGGGGAAAAGTTAAAACTGAAAAAACTCTGCACATTGTGTAAACTAAAGTGGCCATCGTTTGAACTGGGGTAGCCAGACATGGAAATCTACAACCCAAAATTCACCCAAGCAGTATGAAACACTGTGACGGGTCCCCCTGGGCACCCTGACCAATAACCATACATTGATCAGTGACTCAATCTGGTCCGACGCCCCCACCATAGTTAATCAAATGCTTACGAAAGGCCGAGGAGGGCCAAGAGTTGCCCCACCTTACCCTGGGCCTTCTAGGCAAGAACCTCGACACCCTACCCTGGACAGCACCAGTGGCCAGCCCTTGTCCCCACTGCATACCCACAGCGGGGCCCCACACCCACCCGGGGTTCTTCCCCTCCGAGAGGCACCCCCATTGGAAGACAGTAGATGGGTTCACCCATTCTTTGTACACATTCCCTTTTCCGCAAGTGACTTGTACCATTAAAAAGCTCAGCACCCTCCATTCTCTAAAAAGCCTCAGGCACTCACAGGACTCCTGGAGTCCGCTCTGTAGACCACCGCCCCACTTGAAATAACTGTCAGCAGTTACTTCTCATTCTGTTTACCACCGAAGAAAAGAGCAAAATTAAAGGCCCTTAAGACCATTATAGGTCTGGTGGAAGGTGTAATAGAGGAAAACCGAGACCAGATTTAAGACATTTTTCCCTCTACCTGACCCCAGTGGGACCCCAACACCTCGGGGGTCACCAGGCTCTAAACACTTTTCACCGGTATCTTTTAGCAGGGGTTAAGGGGGCGGCTAGGAGGCCCACACCTGGGCCCATCCTAATACATGGGTAACACCCCCCATAGGCACCGAGAAAAAAAAAAACTGTCCAGACCACAGGCACAACCAGGGCCTAAAGAATATCTTAGTTTATAATAATATTACTCAGCCGTTTCTTTTATATAATCCTGCATGTAGTCAAGCTATACTGACTCATTTAGTGCTGATTTATAAAATCCTACTATAGAACCATATAGTAGCTTATAGTGGAATAAATGCCTAGAGCAGTCACAAAGCAAAAGCAGTACATGGGAAAACAGCCAGACCATGACAAAAATCAAAGATCCAGGTGATGGTGTCCCTGCCTAGAAGAACATACGCTGTATGGCAGGCTTGGAGCAAGAGCCTCTCCTCCTGATAAAGAAGTAGTACCTTGCATCCAGTTCCTATGAAAAGTAGGCCTCAGGCCTGAGATCCTGGAAGTAACCAAGGGAGAAGAACCCCTCTGGTGTGACCAATCATGGCTGCTGTACACCCTGTCAGTCTTTTCTCGCTTCTGTGCTAGCTCAAATCATCCTCCCATAAATGTCTAAAGAGAAAAACACAAGTCTGTCAGCTCCCATTACGTTAGGCTTACAATATCTTTCTATTAAAAATCCTTTAAAATCTCCAGCTCCCTACTGTGCACGGCCCACCTCCCTGCGTGGGTGACATAATAAGGTGGCCCCCCCGCTCATAACTCTGCCAGCCCCAATTCTATCCCCCCCAGAATAGTGAATTCTGCCAGACACAAGGACTGTGGTCTCTGAGACCTTAGGACGGGCCCTAGTTAAGAACACACACCAGAACACACACTTAGAACAGACAGGACTAAACTGCTGAGGGCCAGATACCACAGTCCACATCTACATAAATTTGTCAGGGAAACCACAACTCAATGTGATGTATATGCCAGGCTAAATCCAGGAGGCAGCAGGCTTAATCAGGCATAAATAAGACTTAGGGTTGCTAGCTCTAGAGAGCACTGGGAGGTAAACTTTACTAAGGTAAAGCCCTCGGTGGGTGACTCCAAATGCCTTCCTGTATTTGTGGACGCGTACTCCAGATGGGTCAAGGCCTCCCCCACTAGGTCTGAGACCACTTTAGTGGTTACAAAAAACTATTACAGGACCTGGTCCCTTGGTCCAGCCTGCCCCTGACTCTGGAATCAAATAATGGCCCCGCTTTCACAGCCTAACTTTCTCAAGGCCTGGCTAAGGCCCTGGGCATATCCTACACTATGCCTATTGCCCCCAGAGTTCAGGGCAGGTTAAAAGAATGAACCGGCCCATAAGGAAAACTCTAACAAAGTTCATCCTAGAGACCGGTGAAAACTGGGTCAGCCTGCTTCCTTTTGTCCCCCTCTGCGTCCGATACACACCCTACCAAAAGGCTTCTCTCCCTTTAAAATTATGTGTGACAGACCTCCTCCATTGCTCCCAAAACCCGCAAATACTGTGCATACTGAAATCCATAACCATACACTCCTTAAGTCCTTACAGGCATTCCAGTCTGTTCAAACCCAGGTACAACAGCTCATCAAAGATACTTGTCCCACCCCAGTGAACCTCACTGCCCAGCTGATACACATTCCTTCCAGCCTGGGAACTCAGTCCTTGTTAAGAGATTCACCCCTTCCAGTCTGACTCCTCGTTGGAAAGAACTCTACACAGTTATCCTGACCACTCCCACCGCACTTAAGGTGGGCGCACTGACTGCCTGGATTCATCACACCCACGTTAAGACTGCCCCAGCAGAAGAGCAATGCAGAGTTGACCACTCATCACCGGATCCATTAAGCTAAGCCTTTTGCACTGTTCGTGGTCACCACCCTTGTCTCCCTAACCCTTACTATAAACCCCCGAAAAAGACCTCCCTTGGAGCCCACTCATTATCAATAAATCCTTACAGTGGGCTCCACAGGAAAATATGTTAGTTCCCTAATAGAGCAGCAATCCACCCTTGTCAACTTAACCCTTGAGTGTACCCCAAGAAACCCTGTTGTCTTCACCTTAGACCTCTGTGCCCTCCTGGGCCAATACCTAAAATTCAGAACAAGTGGAAGTGGAGCCGGGTGCAATAGCTCAGGAGCAGAGAAAAAAACTCCAGACCATGGGATTGTACTTACTTCCGGGGTCCACCCCACAAAAAAGTGGAACTGTGGAGATTTAAATGAATTCCTTTGCCCCCACTGAGGTTGTGAGACTATCTCTACCATATCAGGATATGTCAAAAACAAAGACTCATTCATCTCCTTCCAGCGGGCGTCTCCCCCATCCCAGTGCTCTGCCAGGTCCTCTAACCCAGTCAAAATAACTGTAACTACCCCAGATAGTAGATGGACAACAGGGAAAACTTGAGGCCTCAAATTATATATGAGAGGGTGGGATATGGGCAACATTTTCACCATCCAGCGCATGGCCCCGCCACGACCTAACCGCCCTATAAGGAAAATTGCAAAAGTCCTAAAACCCCGGGAACCTTTCCCCAAAACCCGAAGAGTCCTGTCTCCTAATCCTACCCTTCCCTCCACTTCCCCCTCAGTAACAAATCTAGCCATAGAAGATTTAAACCTCCTAGACATATTTCTTCAACTCATCACTTACTTAACCAGTCTAACTCAAACCTGGGTACAGACTGCTGGTCATGCTTAAACCCACGGCCGCCATTTTTCACAGGCTTAGCAGCACAACAGCACAGAACCCCCTCCAGCACTCCCTGTTCTGAAAGAAATTTCCACATAACTCTAGGTGATCTGGAGGGAAAGAGTAAATGTTATCATTCCCCTAACTATATTCTAACTCCCCATAGCAGCACTTCTGTAATGACACCCTTCTTTTGAACTATAACGAAACAAATTTTTACTATACTGCCCCAGACTCATCTTGGTTAGCCTGCATTTTCGGTCTCACTAACTGCATTTCCACTTTTCAGTTTAACAATTTCCTGAGACCCGTACTCTGTACCCCCGTATACATTTACCCCTGTGTAAATATCTATAGTGGGCCACAAGGTTTAACTCTCATTGCCCCCCCGACTCAACTACACACTGGAAGTGAATTCCTCTGGTACCCCTACTCGTAGGACTCGGAATTGCCGGGTCTGCAGCTGTAGGAATCTCAGCCCTAGTGACTGGGGAGCCAAATTTCAAGGCCCTATCCCACCATGTAGACTCAGACATCCACCATTTAGAAGACTCTGTTTCTAAACTTGCAGACCAGGTGGACTCCCTAGCTGGGATGGTACTCCAAAATAGACGAGGCCTGGACTTACTATTTCTAAAACAAGGGGGACTCTGTGCAGCTCTCAATGAGCAATGCTGTTTTTATGCTAATAAATCTGAACTTATCCGAGACAGCCTTGCCCTAGTTAGGCAAAACCTAGAAACCAGAAAACATCTCAGAAAAGCTTCTGAGAGTTGGTATCAAAGAATGTTCTCCTGGTCCCCCTTGACTTACCTCCCTACCCACCAGATTGGCAGGACCCCTAACCCTACTCATACTGGGACTAATGTTCGGCCCTTACCTTTTGAATCAGCTACTCAGACTAATCCAAACAAGAATAAATTCTGTAAAATTAATGGTCCTAAGATCCCAATATGAGCGGTTGAGCCAGACTGACCAACCTGTCTTAATCAGGGAATCAATGGTTTGATTCATGTACAAACAACAGGGGGGAATGAGATGGGGCAAAAACAGAAGCCTAAGCACTGCCATCTTATAGAGAAGCCACCTGGGCCCTGGGCAGAGGTGCCGTTCTCAGAACTGTTATTGTACTGCAGTTCTCAGAGGTGTTAAGGGTAAAAATGTCCACTGCTACTCCCCTCCCCTGCAGCAAACCGTTAACTTTAGCTTCTGTACAGACAGCTTGCCTTGCACACCCCTGGGTTCCCCTGAATAAGGATGTGGTTTTGCAGCTTAAATGCCTTGCTCCCCCTGAGCTCGGCGCCACGGGTTGGAGAGACATGAGTCCTCCGTGGGCGCCGGCAATAAAGACCCTGCAATTTGGCATACTTTTGTCTTGGTGTTGATTTTCTGCTCACTCCTGTGCTACACCTTGGCCTCCCAAAGTGCTGGGATTATAGGCGTGAGCCACTGCGCCTGGCCTGAATTGGCATTTTACATGTGAAAGGAGGGGGTAGAGGAATAGATAATAATGCATTCATTTAGTACTTAGTGAATCTGCATTTTTATATAAGCAGTCAAATATGCATTTGTCTCAGGTGAACGGAGGGATGACTTATTGTTCTGTCCTTTGTCCCATACCGGTGATGATAAGCTGTCAATTTACATCATCAGGGTGTCATTCAGCAGAACTGTTTTAGGGTGAAGATCTTGGGACCCACAAAGAATTGCCTTGTGAGCAAAGTGTGAGGGAGTTACGTTGCTTTTTATTTTTGTAGGTATCTGTTTAGGAACAAAATGGGAGGCAGGTTTGTGTAACCCAGTTCCTAGCTTGAATATTCCCTTTGGCTTAGTGAGTTTGGGTTCTGAGATTTTGTTTCCCTTTCCCACAGCAAAGTAAAAAGCCATTGAAGAAGTATATTTTTTCATTGCAAATTTATTTGAAACCATGACAGCATTCAGTGTTTAGACATTGGGAAAGACTCTGGCTGGAATTTGGGACAAGGAAACGTTCCCCCTCCACTAACCTAAAATAGTAGCAAGGTAGGAGGCTGGTAGGACTTGCTTTCTGTTTGTGACCTGGTTGAGCAGAGCAGGATGTGGTCAAAATGCTTTGCAGTGAAGAAACCAGCCAAAACTAGCAAATGGTGTTGCAAGTGACCTCTATTTGCCCTCACTGCTCATTAGCATAAAATGCTTTCACTGGCACCATGACACTTTATAAATACCATTGCAACACGTCATGGTAATGGCCTGGAAATTATGAATTTCCAGAACCTTAGATGGTTCTGGAAACTCTCCACCCTTTTCCAGAAAGTTCTGGATAACCCATCTCTTAATTAGCATATAATTAAAAGTGGGTATAAGTACAGCTGCCAATAGGCCATATGCTGCCAACTCAGCTCACTCCCTGTGGGTTAGTCTTGCTCTGCAAGGAGCGGTCCTGGTTCAAAAAAGTCACCTTCTCTCACC